GGTGTGGCCAAAATGGCCGACCAAAGTTTTTCATAGGAATATATAGGAAAAATCTTAAAAAATCTTCTTCTCAAGAACCACTGGGCCAGGAAAGATGAAACTCATGTGGAATCATCCTCAGGTAGTGTAGATTCAAATTTGTTCAAATCATGACCCCCGGGGCTAGGGTGGGGCCAAAATGGCTGACACAAGTTTTACATATGAATATATAGGAAAAATCTTTAAAAATCTTCTTCTCAAGAACCACTGGGCCAGGAAAGATGAAACTCATGTGGAATCATCCTCGGATAGTGTAGATTCAAGTTTGTTGAAATCATGACCCCTGGGGCAAGGGTGGGGCCAAAATGGCCGACCCAAGTTTAACATTGGAAATATAAGAAAAATCTTTAAAAATCTTCTTCTCAAGAACCACTGGGCCAGGAAAGATAAAACTCATGTGGAATCATCATCAGGTAGTGTAGATTCAAGTTTGTTCAAATCATGACCCCTGGGGCAAGGGTGGGGCCAAAATGGCCGACCCTAGTTTTACATAGGAATATATAAGAAAAATCTTTAAAAATCTTCTTCTCCAGAACCACTGAGCCAGGAAAGATGAAACTCATGTGGAATCATCCCCAGGTAGTGTAGATTCAAGTTTGTTCAAATCATGACCCCTGGGGCAAGGGTGGGGCCAAAATGGCCGACCCGAGTTTTACATAGGAATATATAGGAAATATCTTTAAAAATCCTTCTCCAGAACCACTGGGCCACTGAAAGATGAAATTCATGTGGAATCATCCTCAGGTAGTGTAGATTCAAGTTTGTTCAAATCATGACCCCCAGGGCAAGGGTGGGGCCAAAATGGCCGACCTAAGTTTTACTCTAAAGGGATATATAGAGAAACCTTTTAAAATCTTCTTTTCAAGTACTTCAAAGCTATGATTAGTGATATTTATATGGAATCATCCTCAGGTAGTGTAGATTCTAGTTTGTTCAAATGATGAACGCCTGGAGGGGGGGGGGGGTAAATTCAAGCCCGATGTGCTCAGGTGAGCGCTGTGGCCCCTGGGCCTCTTGTTACTATATATAATCTATAGAGCCCCGCCCTAACACCAGAACCCTTGAGCCATTAAATTCACAATTTTGGTTGAGGCACTGTTGCTCATCATAACTATGCACTAAGTTGGTTTATTTAATACCTAGGAGCAGAGTAGAAGATTTTCAAAGAATTCATGTATTTTCACTATATAATCAATAGAGCCCCCCTCCCTAACACCAGAACCCTGGGGCCATAAAATTCAAAATTTTGATAGAGGCACTCATGCTCATCATAACTATGCACTTAGTTAGTATATTTAATACCCAGGGGCAGAGAAGAATATTTTCAAAGAAATCATGTATTTTCACTATATATAATCAATAGAGCCCCGCCCTAACACCAGAACCCCTGACCCTGGGGCCATAAAATTCACAATTTTGGTAGAGGCACTCATGCTCATCATAACTATGCACTTAGTTAGTATATTTAATACCCAGGGGCAGAGAAGAAGATTTTCAAAGAAATCATGTATTTTCACTATATATAATCAATAGAGCCCTGCCCTAACACCAGAACCCCTGACCCTGGGGCCATAAAATTCACAATTTTGGTAGAGGCACTCTTGCTCATCATAACTATGTACTTAGTTGGTTTATTTAATACCCAGGAGTAGAGAAGAAGATTTCCAAAGAAATAATGCATTTTCACTATATACTTATTTAGCCCCGCCCTAGCACTAGAACCCCTGACCCTAGGGCCATGAATTTCACAATTTTGGTAAAGGACTCAATGCTGATTACAATCATGCAAACAGTTTGACTGCTTGATGTCCAGGAGTAAAGAAGAAGATTTTTAAAGACTGCATTAATTTTAATGGTTTTGGCCCCACCCCTCAGGCCCCAGGGGGGCAGGGATCATGAAATTCATAATTTTTGTTCCCCTTCACCCATAGATGCTTTGTGTAAAATTTGGTTGAAATTGGTTCAGTTGTTGCAGAGAAGAAGCTGAAAATGTTCAAATGTTAACACACGACGAACAACGGACGACGACGGACAAAAACGGATAGCAATAGGTCACCTGAGTTTACTCAGGTGACCTAAAAATACTAAAACATTATAGGTAAGCATATTGATCTAAAATTATGATATTGGAAAGTTTTGGGAAAATTGTGATATATACCATTAAGTAACTGACGATTAAATCAGTGATGTCATAATTTCAGCTGTTCTCAAAATGGGGTACAACTTGAAGCAAAAATTTGTTGTAAACTTTTATTATTAGAACGATACCCTAAATATTGTACAGGGTGTGATGATGAAAAATATCCAGACCAGTAATTGCTGTCTAGTTTTCATATATCAATAAAGAATAATTAGAGAGTTTGAACTAAATCATAATGTAAAGATTATTAAAGACAGTTAAATCCTGCCCCTACCAAAAATCAAGAAGAGATGAGAACAATATCAAAGTGAAGTCAATCATTGAGAAAACCTCATGAAAAATAATCTGAGATCCCTCTTAGTCAAAGGATTACATAAATACATGAAAGTTAGATACGATTTTAGGGAAATGGATTGTGACAATGTTGTATTTAAAAATCAAAATTTAAGTTAAGTGTTTCTGCATTATACATTTCAGCATCTAAAGTCGATTGACGTTCAGAGCCTGTTAAAGTTTGCAAGATTGACTGAAAGGAAGAGCGAAAGAAATGGACACTAATTAACACAAACCAGTAGTTCTGAATTATTTAAATGCAACTTTCAATTAAAATAGATCTATATGACCTTTGGGGATCTAAAAAGCCAAATATAAACAAGAAATGTTTCAAGTATCCTGTGAAGCTTACAAAACAGTGGTCAGAAATTTATAAGCATAAGTCTCTTTAAGTTATTTAAGACAATGTTGTGAAAACACTTGGAGAATAACATTTTAGGATTTGTTGCCATAGTAACCGAAGTGGAGAATGCTGGATACTTCTGACTCAAAAAAATAATTTTGAATATATGCTGATTAAAACGATATATAAAATGTATATGTAGCTTTTGTTGTCATTTAAATATTTGTCTGTAGATGTGTGACATATATTGTGAAACACCCTGTATGTGCAAAACACTCCGCATTTTATTTTGTATATAGCAACGCCATCCGCATTTTTTGTGTATATAGCAACGTCATCCGCATTTTTTACTTCAGTAGATAAATTTACATGCTTGATTGTTCTGATGACGACCGTCACAGGTCAAAACCAGTCAACAAAATAAATTTACTGCTGCATTCTCACGAAGTGTTGGTGATCTGTTTTATACTTTTAAGGGTCCTCCACACCATGTGACTTGTGACGTATATAGAGAAAAAATACTTTTACTTCCGGTTTGATCGAGTTTCTCCATGAACGATTTAACCTAACACCGTTTGTAAACAATGAACACATGGCATGATCACGGAGTGACCGTTGTAAAAGGATGTGCGGTTTTTTGTTAAATAAAAGAACAACAGACGTCTTGGATTATGTTAGTGAAAATAATTCGTAAACAACAGGTACCGATATGTATGACGAAAAACGTTTAGGTTATTTATCCTTTCAGGCTAATCAACCGAGTCTGTTTTGATAGTTGAAATTTCGCACACTAATTTGTGCGTTTCAATAATACATTATTTCATTGTTGTTTATAAATATTGATAAAATAGTGTGTGTTCCTAGTTTTTTCAATATTTGTCCAGTTCAGTGGCCAGTAATTACTAAATATAGTATGGTACGTGTCGTATGCGGAGACTTGCCAAAGTTTTTGAGTCCCGGGCAACAGGAAAGATAACTCCAAAAAGGAACTTTGATACCGAAGATTTTGAAAATGTTTTTTCTCAATCAGCGCATTTGATTTTAATTCAATTTTTTGATGTAATCTAATTCAGTAATGTTTCTTCTCCACAAAAGGAGTCCTTATTGATTTTTCTCGAGATGTATTTCAGAGAAAATGAGTTTTATGTACTTTTTATAAATAAAATAAATTTCTGTAAAAAATATGTTGATAGATAAAAATAAATTTTTATGGTTATTCTGTGAGCTTAAAAAATATACGAAAGGATAAGACAAAGTTTCTTGTGCTAGGTATGAAAACGCTCTGGGAAAAATTTCTTATAACTTGTGAAATAATTATTTTAAAAAATTAGTATAAATTACATTTTAATCCCTGGACACTTTTTAAAGGTTGATATGCTTATCAAAAGTAATGCTCAATAATATGAGAACATAAGCTGGGGGTGTGTGGAGGACCCTTAAGTTAATAAAATTACTTCTTGTTAAAAAAATAAAATACCAATTTTTATGGAAAAATCGTTAAATTTGCCTCTTGCAAAAAATTCCACTTATACAGTATATAAAGTCTCTGAGTAAAAATATTGAACATCTTAATCATGTTGATAAAGAACAGTTTTAAGTAGAAACTTATCAGATTAAAGTAGAAACAATTAACATTTAAGTTTAGAAATCAAATAAGATAATGTTAAAATTGACCTTGAGAATTTACTACATTTGTATTACAAAAACTGTACCTGCATACTGATCTGACTTGGTGGAACTTTCTGCACAGTACACACCTTTCCCAAAGAAAGGACTATTGGCAAGCCTTCCATCCAGTCCCTGGGTCAGGATGTTTTCAATGTATTTTTTCTCTGTCCCATGAAACAGGTAATGCTCATTAATCCCTGGATATATCTCCGTCTTCAGTAAAGGATCAGCCATCTTTGTTGTCAACACTTCACCATTTTTGGCTTGTGAAATTTGCTGAAGTGGCTTCAACACACCTTTTTTGGATGCTCTTAAAAAAAGTTTCTCTCTGTACTTCCAATATTCCTCAAAAAGATGTGGATTTTCCAGTCGTTTTATTCCAGTTATCCTAATATTGGTGTAATTTAACCCAGCTAAACCAGCAGAGTCTACTCCATGTCCTACATACTGTGATTTCCATGTTGTCAAAGCCAATTTTTTTATAGCTTTGTATATAGGGTTGCTGGGATTTAAATCCACTTGTTCATGTGCTTTTTGTGATACAGTGGTGTTCCAATCAGCAAGGGTTTTACTGGATGTGTATTTTGTCCAGTAGGAGGGAGGCATTGGTTTTTTATGATAGAGATCTTCAAAATACTGTTTGGAATTCAATGGTTTTGAGCTGGAAGCTGTGCAAGAAAAATAAAAAAAAAATAGCTAGAAGTTCGTTGAATCAATATGCCTATATCATAAGTATATGGCATCCAAATTATTTATAAATGTTATTTATGATAGTACTTGCTCCATGATCAGAAGGTTGTGGGTTTGAGCCCAAACCTCGACTAAGCCAAGTTGATAAAAAAAATAAGTACCGGTAGCAGCTGAAATCCTTCACCAAGCCCTTGGCTTTTTGACATGAAATTTGTAGGTCATTTGAAAGAGACCTTAAAAACTGAGGCCCCCTTACATGGCCGGTGTTGGCAACATAAAGAACCATCACAAATCAATGGCTTTGAGTGCTGAGTAAAGGTTTATTTTGAAGCCGTTTACCAGTGAGTCTCTATTTGAGTGAAAATTTCTTGAAAGGAATGTCAAGCAACTTAAAATCAATATACATATTTTGTGAGGTATGATATCGTATTGAACATTTTAAAAAATCAGTGTCCAACTCCTTGAAAGCAATATGAAGGAAGGCATATTAGGACAAGAGATGAGAGTATCCAGGAATAATTTGGCCAATGTATATACAGAAATGTGCCCCTGAAAATGACAAGGCCTTTGTCTTTCTTGCAAAAAAAAATTCTAAAAGGAACTAAATTTCCTTTCTACAAACATGCACATGCCTACCATGTACATGTAAACATGGCTGCAAGCTTTACCTGTTTTTGAAGATACAGGTCGTGTGGGTGTGAATATTTGTAGAGCAGAACGAAATGCCTGTAAAAATTGTTAATAAATATTAAACAATTTTGTTTGTTTGAAAGACATTCTTGACCATCAAAATAATATTTGACCTGACAACAAAGTATTTAAAAATATGTAAAAAATTCTTCATAGAGGATAACTTACCTGTTGAACAGTTTGCCATTTCTGGTCCATACTGTAAACTACAATGGTGATTCTGGTGAGTTCAGTTTTGGGATATTTTTTGTTAAAGTCTTCAATGCACTCTGCCATGACCTCTGCCACTTCATCAGGGGGGTATTCCAGAGACCCGGTCCCCAGGGTGGGGAAAGCAAGAGTCTTTGTCATGGGATGTTTATTGGCCTCCTCCAGACAGTTGGTGACAAAGTCTTTCAAGATCTTGACAAAAGAATGTTAAAAGAAATTAGAAAAACAAACAGCATGCTACTTCGGGAAGTCAAAAAAGATGTCCATGGGCCACATCACTCACCTGAGCACAAGGGCTAGGTAAACACACAATTCAGCTCAATATTGAAAAGTTTAGGGGAAGGGTTGTGGCTTAGCCTACTAATAGAGTCTGGGGGTCATGATTTGAAGAAATTTCATTTACACCACCTGAGGATGATTCCACATGAATTTCATCTTTCCTGGCCCAGTGGTTCATGAAAAGAAGATTTTAAAAGATTTTTCCCATATATTTCTATTTAAAATTTTGATCATCCATTGTGGCCCCATCCTACCCCTAGAAGTCATGATTTGAACAAAATTGAATCTAAACTACCAGAGGATGATGTCACATGAGTTTCATCTATTCTGCTCCAGTGGATCTTGAGAAGAAGATTTTTAAAAGATGCCATTAATTTTTCACAAATTCATTATTATCTCCCCTTAGAAGAGGGTGTGGCCCTTCATTTGTATAAACTTGAACACCCTTCAACCAAGTATACTTTGTGTTAAGTTTGGTTGATATTGGCCATTGGTTCATGAGAAGGAGATGAAAATAGGAAAAGTTTACAACGATGATGACAGACAACTGTCAAATTTTGATCAGAAAAGCTCACTTGAGCAATCAGCTCTGGTGAGCTAAAACTTGCTATTGATGCTAATGGAATTCCAGCGGTACCGCCATACACAACAAGGTCATTGAAAATGGAAGTTGAATACCTGTTTTGGTGTAGATGTACCGGATGTGCCCCACTTGGGGAGAGCCCCATGGTACACAAATTGACAATGCAAATCATGGCCACCAGTGATGGCAATATCTCCATACTGGATTCCATTTGGATATTTATCATCACAGTCTTTCTGAAGTTTAGACCCTGCAGCCATCAGCATGGTCTCTGCCATTCCTTTATTCTTTAGCTTCAGATCTTTTGGTCCACTACAAACAATAACATCAACCTGAAATACAAAAACAAACTTTTTAACACCATTATCATTATGAAAAAAATGTCATTCAGTTTATATGTAATTTATAATTTGGCAAGAGGTAAATATTGAACAATATAAGGTAAAACTGCAAAAGTATAGAGGAAATACACATGTACCTTCAATCTTTCGTCTGAAATTGTTTCGAATCCTATCTTTTTTATGAAAGCTTATGAACTTAAAGTCATTATTTCAAGTTTAGTACCGGTATGTCAGCAAATCTATATAATGATTAGAAAGAGAGCTTACCTGTTGTTCTGTTAAATTTCCAACCTTCAACCAGACATCTATTCTTCCTAACTTGAAGGTAATCTTATGTGTTACAACTACAGCAAAAAAATAAATGATTAACAAGAATTGTTTTCATGGAACTTGTTTCTTTTAGAAACAAGCATTCTGATAGAAAAACATTAACAATACTAATCCCTACTTGAGTGTAATCTGCATGCATGGTTCCAATCTAAAATTAATTCATTAATGTCATAATTCCATCGTAAACAAGAGGTCCATGGGCCACATCGCTCACATGAGCACTAACGGTAGGAAAAAGTAGAAAATGGCTTTTTATTGTAAAGTTTAAATCCAAAAGTAGTCCCATGACCAATCATGGATTTGCTATTTTTTAGAAAATGATTTTTAAAGAATTTTCCTATATATATCTTTAAAAACTTTGGTCACCATTTTGGCCCCGCCCTACCCCTGGGGGTCATGATTTGAACAAATTTGAATCTACACTACCTGAACATGCTCCATATAAATATGATGAATTATGGCTTTGTCATTCTTGAGAAGAAGATTTTTAAAGAATTTTCCTATATATTTTTATGTAAAAGTTTGGTCGGCCATTTTGGCCCCGCCCTACCCCGGGGGGTCATGATTTGAACAAACTTGAATCTACACTACCTGAACATGCTTCCATATAAATATGATGAATTATGCCTTTGTCATTCTTGAGAAGAAGATTTTTAAAGAATTTTCCTGTATATTTCTATGTAAAAGTTTGGTCGGCCATTTTGGCCCCACCCTACCCCCAGGGGTCAGATTTGAACAAACTTGAATCTACACGACCTGAGCATGCTTCCTCATAAATATGATGAATTATGGCTTTGTCATTCTTGAGAAGAAGATTTTTAAAGAATTTTCCTATATATTTCTATGTAAAATTTTGGTCGGCCATTTTGGCCCCGCCCTACCCCTGGGGGTCATGATTTGAACAAACTTGAATCTACACTACCTGAGCATGCTCCCATATAAATATGATGAATTATGGCTTTGTCATTCTTGAGAAGAAGATTTTTAAAGAATTTTCCTATATATTTCTATGTAAAATTTTGGTCGGCCATTTTGGCCCCGCAATACCCCCAGGGGTCATGATTTGAACAAACTTGAATCTACACTACCTGAGGATATTTCTCCATAAGTTTCATCTTTCCTGGCACAGTGGTTCTTGAGAAGAAGATTTTTAAAATATGCCACCAAATTTTCATTAATTCCCAATTATCTCCCCTTGAATGAGGGCGTGGCCCTTCATTTGAACAAAATTGAATCCCCTTCACCCAATGATACTTTGTGGTAAGTTTGGTTGAAATTGGCCCAGCGGTTCTTGAGAAGAAGTCAAAAATGTGAAAAGTTTACAGACAGACGGACAGACAGACGGACAGACAGACAGACAGACGCCGGACAAAATGTGATCAGAAAAGCTCACTTGAGCTTTCAGCTCAGGTGAGCTAAAAATGAATCTGAACAAAATTCAAAACAGCATCTGGAGCAGCATCCTTAGATATTGTTTAATCCATGCACAGTTTGCTCAACATAGGGCATATAGTCATATACCTGCTTTAGAATAAACCCGCTCCAAAAACTGTTCACTCATTCACAAAATGTAGCATTCAAAGTAAGTCCATTAGTGTGCATCCTTTGATGTTTCATCCATGCAAGTTTGCTTAACATAGGGCTCATAGTTAATATTGGAAATGAGACCTGCACGAAAAACTATAATCATTTTACTCATCCATTAAATGCAGGTCAGATTCAGCATCAAAAGCAGGTCAGATACTGTGCATCCTTAGATGTGTCATCCAATTCCAAGTTTGGTCATCATAGGGCTCATAGTTACTTGGAAATGAGAAATTCACCAAAAATATTAACCTGTTCACTCATCCGGGAAATTTGGTCTGATCCAGCATCTGAAACAAGCCTGGTAGTATGCATCCTTAGATTGTATCATCCATGCAAATTTGGTCAGCATAGAACTTACAGTTACAGTATTTAAGGAATAAGTAATTTTTTTTGTTTCATGATGTGATCAATTGAGTGGCTTGCGTGATAATTTGCATAAACGCCTTCAGCATTTATGCATAAAATTATCACACAAGCCAATTAATTGATTATCATTATGAAACCAAAAAATCTGACAGTTATTCACTTATATATTTACATGCTCTAAATACTGCTTCTATCTCTAATTGTCCTGCCCCACATTTTTTTTTAACAGCTCCTATTAATGATTCAGTAGATTTATAGAGAAATAAAGTACAACTTGCTGATTGTACTTTTATCTCGGACAAAGACATTGGAAAATGTAAATATTTTGAAAGAAGACTTCACACCTAAAATGTTAACCTAGCTGATCCAAAAACATTAACCTGGTTATTCCTTTGCTGAAATTGCAGCATCCAAATCTTATATGGTACAATGAAACACGCCAGAAGCATCTTCCATGCATGTCTGATCAATGGGCATAAAAAACTTAAAAACTGCACAAAAAACCTTGTGACACCAAGGGCTCATGTATCACATAAGCTCCCCCAACTTAGTTGAGGTGAGCTAAAAATTGCATTCACATCAATTTCACATCTGGCTTATTAAAAAAAAAACAGAAAATGTAATTACTATAATATGCAATAAGAGAGTCAATGGTATTTTAACGCTACCCTGCGCTCCAAAAAAATATTTATAGATATTAACTTAGAATCTTTTGAAATACTGTATGCGTACCGGTACTTAAAATAGGGGACTTCACATTTCAGCTGCAGACAAGGATGCACTTATTCATGAATAATGCTAAGAATTCATTAATAATAAATAGAATATATGGCACAAATACCTTAGCGCTAATTCATGATTACGCCAACTACTTATCCTTTGATATTGCTAAATTTTGAATATGCCAACTTACGTACAGTAGTTCTTCCATTAAATTTGGTAACTTCCACTAATCAAAATCCCCCCTCCATCCCCCCCCCCCCCCCATTTGGAATGCTTAGACCAATGTGAGATTGTCTGGATCTGCTATTGGACTTGAAGCAGTCCCAGATTGGCAGAGAACAGTTCATTGGACTGCTTTCAGTCAGACTAGGTCGTATTGGTACTGTACACTTTACCTGTTCCTGACGTTCCTGCAGGTCCTTTGATGCCGCAGTGAGACTGGGTGTTGGCATTTGTAGAGAAGACAGAAATGCCTGCAAATTGTTTAGTAAACAGTCACATATAATTATTTTGAAAAAGGATACATGCAATGTAAATCCCTTTTTATTCCTGTGAACTTTATTTTCGTGTAATTATGCAAGACAGTGTGTAGGTCTTTTTTAAAAAAAAAAAAAAAATTAAGATTTTGCATAAGATTTTAACATACAAAACTCTTACGACAAATTTTATTATATAAGTGTTTTTAAATGTCAGTCATTTGAAAATGTAAAGTGGAACATATACATCGTAAATATTTGTTTTGAATTTCACTTGATATTTTGAAAATGATTGTGTCAAACATATGATTCAATATTATTGGAGGTTGCTTTTTAAAGTTCTGTTTCACGTGTATTTTAGTTGTGCTTACATTTTTACAATAAAATCAGTTTTAAGATACTTAAGAGATGGTCAGGGCTCTCGTAGAGTTACAATAGATTTTTCACTTACAACTTGTTTAAGAATTTTTGGACACATATAATTTTCATAAGCATAGAATACATGTACGAGGGTTGTTCGAAAAGTTCGTGGACAACTATCATATCTTTTTTATTTGACGTCACATGTTATCCAAATTTGGTAGAAATATTTTACCAATAAATCCAAATGATTTGTATTCATTTTTTTTCAAAATATTACGATTTATTCAGAACTTATCTAGATTTTAAAAATGCGAAAATTGGATCGCGGAGCAGGTCAAAATTTAGTAAGTTACAAACAAAACACTAAATAATGTCTGAAGTCATAATCTCTGTAAAATGAAGCAAAAACGAAAAAAAAACTAGAAATTCAAATAAGAATTGCTTCATCGATTCGTATATAAAATTATGGTTTTATATTTTGTTTTGTTGAAAAGCGATCGACATGAGAAGATAGGTGGTGCTTATTGAAAACGACAAAAACGATGACGTTTAAGAACGTGACGGAGCAGCAGATTATGATGCAATTTTGTGTTTTACTTGGGAAAAATCCTGAATAAACACTAAAAATGTTGGGGGAATCAAGAAATATGTAACAAATGAGTTGTGCATGTGTGTACAAATAGTACAGGCAGTATTTGAGTGACAGAAACTCAGTATCGGATGAGGATAGTCTGTGAAAAAACGGTTTAACTATAAAAATCTGACCAAAACTTTGAAAAGTTGGAACCTCAAGAAAAGACACGGGCGCTTCGGAGTTACTTATCCTGTGAAAGCAGAGTTAAATAATTAAAGAAATTAAAACCTGAACAAAGGTACAACGAGAGCAATTCTTATAAAATAAATTTCAAATATTAGAAAAAGGATTTAATGTATGGGCATACGATTATACTCTGTGAAATGTATAGGGATAGTGTTGGTTTTTTTTTTTTTTTTAGAAATTCTTGATGCTATGTTTTGACGTTACATTGCCGTTAAGTGTGCTCCGCGGGTACAAAATATGTTGATTTTAAACTGAAGTAAATTGTTTTCTGTTAAATCGAATAGAATGAAACTCCACACATCAACAAAGCAAATATTTTAACAAATTATATTGTACTTATTTTAAATTTCTAGTGAGTAATATAAATTAGATTGACACCGTCCACGAACTTTTCGAACAACCCTCGTACATGTATATACAGCAACCAGATGTTTCAGTCGAGACTGTATAAGCTCTACAGGTTTGTGTTTGTATAAAGTAAGAGAAAAGTAGCAGTTGGACTTGAAACTCTGCAACAGCAATAAATGAAACAATGACCATTTATTTAGTCTCTCTTTTATGGGAAAATTGCAATCAGACTAAAACTGTTGTAGAAGTAGCCTTTCAAAGAATTTACAAAATTTTTAGCAACCACAGCATGCAATCAATCACCAAAATCAAAAACTGATATACAGAATTATGTTTTATTATTGAAATTAATATAATGAAATCAATATATTGAAATCAAACCAAAACTGTAGGAGGTGTAGCTTTTTGAATAATTGTTCATAGACAGATGGACAGTCAGCTAGATGGACGATGGACACCTCGCTATGGCATAAGCTCTCTTGGACTCAGACCAGTAATGTCTAGTAAAACTGAACCAGCATATGTGAAAATTTTATCTGGCATATTAAATATCAAATATATAACTTTCCAAAATAAGGTGTCCCAAAAATTTGGTGATCAATAGTATATCAATTGCAATTTTTTTATCTATTGATAGTGAGAAATTTTAAAATCCAAAAAATTGTAAAAGAAAATAAGAAAAATAGTAACCTGTTGAACAGTTTGCCATTTCTTGTCCAGGTTGTAAGCTACAATGGTGATTCTGGTGAGTTCAGTTTTGGGATATTTTTTGTTGAAGTCTTTAATGCACTCTGCCATGACCTCAGCCACTTCATCAGGGGGGTATTCCAGAGACCCCGTCCCCAGGGTGGGGAAAGCAAGGGTCTTTGTCATGGGATGTTTATTGGCCTCATCTAGACAGTTGATGACTAAGTCTTTCAAGATCTTGAAAGGAGAGGACAAGGAAATTTTTAAAAACAAAATTGATAAAAAGTACACTACATGAAGTGGTTGAATTATACTCTACACTCTGTAGACAACATCTTGGTAAGAATGTACCTGTTTTGCTTTAGTAGATGTGCCCCATTTAGGGAGAGCCCCAATATACACAAATCTGCAATGCAAATCATGGCCACCAGTGATGGCAATATCTCCATGCTTGATTCCATTTGGATATTTATCATCACAGTCTTTCTGAAGTTTAGGCCCTGCAGCCATCAGCATGGTCTCTGCCATTCCTTTATTTTTCAGTCTCAGATCTTTTGGTCCACTACAAACAATTACATCAACCTGAAATATAATATATAGCAATATAATTAAAACCAGAGGCCAAGGGGCCACATCGCTCACCTGAGCACATTGGCTAGTTCAAAAACACAAATCAGCTCAGTATTGAAAACTTTTTGGGGGAGGGGTGGGGTGGGTGAATTTTCTATTACGTGAGAATGTCACTTTATCATTAAAGCATTCATAATATATGTATAATACATGTATAATTTCCATACTTGAAAAGAAGATGTTTTTAAAGATTTTCCCAATGTATTACTTGATCACCCCTCACTATTTTCACTACCTGAGGATGCTTCAACATGAGTTTCATCTTTCCTGGCCCAATGGTTCTGGAGAAGAAGATTTTTAATACATTTTCCCTATATATCTTATGTAAAACTTTGATAAGCCATTGTGGCCCCACCCTACTCCCAGGGGTCATGATTTGAAAAAAGAATGAATCTACACTACCTGAAGATGCTTCCACTTGAGTTTCATCTTTCCTGGCCCAATGATTCTGGAGTAAAAGATTATTAAAGATTTTTCCTACGTATTCCTATGTAAAACTTTGATCAGCCATTGTGGCCCCACCCTACCCCTAAGGTCATGATTTGAACAAACTTGAATCTACACTACCTGAGGATGCTTCCACATGAGTCTCATCTTTCCTGGCCCACTGGTTCTGGGGAAGAAGATTTTTAAAAGATTTTCCTTCCTTTTATCAGCCATTGTGGCTCCACCCTACCCCTGCATGTCACGATTAGAACAAATTTGAATCTACATTACCTGAGGATGCTTCCACATGAGTTTCATCTTTCTTGGCTCAAATGGTTCTGGAGAAGAAGATTTTTCCTACATATTCCTATGTAAAACTTTGATCAACCATTGTGGCCCTGCCCTGCATGTCACCATTGGAACAAACTTGAATCTACATTACCTAAGGATGCTTCCACATGAGTTTCATCTTTCCTGGCTCAATAGTTCTGGAGAAAAAGATTTCTAGACATTTTTCCTTTATATTCCTATGTAAACCTTTGATTGGCCAATGTGGCCCCACCCTACCCCCAGGGGTCATGATTTTGACAAACTAGATGCACACTACCCGAGGATGCTTCCACATGTCATCTTTCCTGACCCAATGATTCTGGAGAAGATTTTTAAAAGATACCATTTATTTTTCATTAATTCATAATTATCTCCCCTTGGAAGAGGGTGTGGCCCTTCATTTGAACAAATTTGAATTCCCTTAACCCAAGGATACTTTGAAGCAAATTTGGTTAGAATTATGCCAATGGTTCTTGAGAAGAAGATGAAAATGTGAAAAGGTTACGACAATGCCAATGACAACAACAACGACAGACAACAGACAAATTTTGATCAGAAAAGCTCACTTGAGCCTTTGGCTCAGGTGAGCTAAAAACATAGGTAATCAAAGAATACAAAGCTGGATCACCTCAACAAATGGTGTCTATAAGGATGGTAAATTTCACATCATATTTTTCTACTTTTGTGTGCATCCTAAGACAATTACCATAAATCTGGAAATTTTTATGTCAATTTTATTTTGCGAATCTGGGTCAAAATGCTGTTGATTATTAAAAATTTTTACGTTTCAAAATTTTGCAAATGACCATGCACTACTTTGTTTATATTTTCTTATTGTTGAATTATTCTTAAGAAAAATATTTTGCAAATGCAATGAACTCGCAAATTTGCTAAAAATTTATCTACAGCAAAAATTTCCAGATTTACAGTATCCATGCAAGTCGATCAGCTTACGACCTTCGATTTTTTATGGACAGGCTCCAAAAACTTTGTTAACCAGTCCATGTTCTACAATCAAAAATATGATGGTCAATTGACTCAGTTCAAACATTCAAAGCAAGACTGGAAGTGTCCAGTTTCAAATGCATCATCTATGCAATTTAATCCTAACATGGTTGTACAATAATTTATTATAAATCTACTGAAAAACTTGACCCTCAGTTCACTTATCTAAAATATTGGTCAAAATCAGCATTTTATTAAATCAACCCTGGAAGTGTCCATCCCTTAGAGAAACATGATTCATGCTAATTTAATAAAAGAATGTCTAAAATTCATTCATCTGGAAAATATGTCTCCTGCACCTGGAGCAGATAGGATAGTGTACATTTCTATAAGAATCATCCCTACAAATTTGGTCCAGGTATGGCTTATAGCTACTTGGGAAAAACCTGCTCCAAAAACTTAAACATGGTCACTCTTCTGTAAAATGTTGGTCAGATCCAGCATCTGAGCAAGTCTGGTAGTATCCATCCTTATATGTATGCATTGTCCCTGCAAGTTTGGTCCAGGTTGGGAAGACTAACTACTAAAACTTTAAACGGGATACTGATACCAATGCCAGGGGTAAAGCACAAGCTTATTTTGACTTGAACTAAAAATGTCTTGTCATTAGTTAAAATATCTCAAATCAACAGATTTTCAGAGTGTGAAGATCCCAGGCACGTAGCATCGTTTTTGAAAGTGGGGGGGGCAACCAGAGAACTTTTTTTTTTACCTTACCTTAAAAAGGCCCATGCAATGATCATGAGCTAAAAATCTCCAAGTTCATATATTAGCAATATTAGATGAAAATTTTGAGATATATCCCTGAATTTCACAACCTTATTTCACATGATCACTCCTATTTATCACCACAAGTATTTATTTTGCTTTGTATTTGTTGAGAGTGTACTTTCTTAAAAGTTAGTCCAAGGTCAATGTCAAAGGAAAGGTGAAGGTAAAAAAAAGCATTTTAAGCTAACTTTATGGTATTTGCTTAATTTTTTTCTACAGCAATTAACTTACATGTTGTTGTGTTAAATCTCCAACCTCCAACCAGACCTCTACCCTTCCAAATTTAAATTTCTTCTTCTGTGAGATAACTACCGTATACAGCAAAAGTTAAATAATTTTTTCCTTAAGAAATATGAACCAACAAAGATAAAAAAGAACAGCATCGTCTGATGAACATCATCAGATTAATTATCCAAGATCTAATTTTAAAAAATTAAAAAAAAATATTTCTCATACCTGATTTTTGTCTGTATATTTCCTTTGCTTTGTTAACAAATGCCTGTTAAAGATGTGCAAACATATTGTAGTGTATATATAAACTGTAAAACAAGTTTATTTTTAAGGAATCACTGTCTAATTAGTATAGCATGCCAGGGCATCAACAAAAGTGGGAAACATGGGATAATTTGCATAACGGGCTTTTAAATTATCCCATGTTTCCCACTATTGTTGATGTCCCTTGCATACTATACTAACTAGACAGTGATTCCTTATATTTCCATTTCATTGTGAAATAAAATTGTAGATTTAGACTTTAAAAATGCAGACATAGATTTAAATTACACAAGGATTCCCATCCCAATTTCAATAGTCATCGCCCACTGACATCAAACACAATGGCAGCCCCACGAAATTTTCATGCATATTTGGCCTCCTTAGTGTCAGACTCAGAGACAGATGTGCACGAGATTTGCATGCATATTAGGCCTCCTTAGCTCCTGACCTATTGACCTGCCTAATTTACATTCCTGTAAAATTATCGAGAAATTATCTCCGCTAACTTTCAAAGAGTTATCACAAAGAGAAAATTAGAAATGGAAATATATAACAATCAAACATGTACCATGCAGGCACGGGACAAAAAAAGAAACATAATTCAACATTTGAACACTGTTACTGGTATACATGTTATTAATTTTTTTTTAAAACTTGAGGGATTGAAATTTATCATTTGCTATAGACATTAAATTTATTATTATAAAGTTACAAATTGAAATTATCCTCATTTACAATTTTTTTCATTAATTGTTAATAAGTAGATGCTGGGATACATGTATGTAGTGGGTACCGTATAAACTTGATTTTTGAAGATGGAGAACACCACTTGGCTGAGATTGGGGTTGGTTTTCCCTTTACTGAACTCCTCCACCGCTGTAAACATCAGGTCTGCCAGGATACTGGGAGGGTACCCAATGGGGGACCCCAGATCTGGTACAGCAATGGAGGTGAAGCTGTTTTTATTGGCTCTCTCAAGGCAGTCCTTTACTGATTGTGTTAAATTCTTTATAAAATTAAAAAAAATACAATTTTTCAAAATACTAAACCATATTAGATGTTCTTCAAGCTGAACATGATGATTCATGAAAGGTCAAGATCTATGTTAACTTTGTCAGTCATATTATTCCCAGCTAGGCTGTCCATAAAATATCAAATGGTTCAAACTGTAGTTATATACTTCTCTGAACTACCTATATATGACGTAATAATAGAATATGACACCAAGTCACAGCATAATTCAGCTGACATGATGGGGAAAGTGTCATTAATTTTAAATTTCTTTCACATGACATGTAGATTTTTTTTGTTTTGGTGTTGTTGTTTAATGCAAGTGTCAAAACTTTTTTTCAAGCTCCAGTGTGCTGTATAATGTTGAACTTTTGAAATTTACATCCCTTATTCCTTTCATTTGTCCAATATGCACATAATTTCAAACAATAGTCTAATAAAAACTGAAAGTGAAAAGCTCCCCTCACACATTCTCAGACAGAGTTGGAATTCATGAATTGTGTTTACATTTGACTGGAACAAGTGATTTTACAAGGATAAATTGAAGATATTCTTTGTGAATCTACAAGAGGAGTTAGTTGCAAGATCCCTCTTTAAGCCATTCACTGGGACTCATATCAGTGTATTATATAATAAATCACTTTTATACAGTATACATCAATCGTATTGATCACAAGGTCTCATGATATGGATATCATATCACCAGTGTATATCATGATACAGTATTTTATTGTCATGTTTAAATGCAAACTGAACAAGAGGCCCATGGGCCACATGGCTCACCTGAGAAGCTTTGATCATTCTGTTCTTTACCAGATTTCCCCCTTGTAATACATTAAGTATCCCCACCCTACCCCACTGATCATAATTAAGACATTTTGAAATCAACTACCCCAGGATCCTTCCATGTGCAAATAAGTTTCAGCTTTTCTGGCCCAGTGGTTCTTGAGAAGAAGGTTTTCAAAGATTTTTCCTATATATTTTCATGTAAAACTTTGATCCCCCCATTGTGGCTCCACCCTTCCCCTGGGGGTCATGATTTGAACAATTTAAAATCTACATTACCCAAGAATGCTTCCACATAAGTTTCAACTTTTCTGGCCCGGTGGTTCTTGAGAAGACGTTTTTCAAAGATTTTTCCAATATATTTCTATGTAAAACTTTGATTACCAATTGTGGCCCCACCCTTCCCCCGGGGGTCATGATTTAATTTAGAATCTACACTATACCAGGATGCTTCCACATAAGTTTCAGCTTTTCTGGCCCAGTGGTTCTTGAGAAGAAGATTTTCAAAGATTTTTCTTATATATTTCTATGTAAAACTTTGATTCCCCATTGTGGCCTCGCTCTTTCCCCGGGGGTCATGATTTGAACAATTTAATATCTACACTACCCTAGGATGCTTTCACATAAGTTTCAGCTTTTCTGGCCCAGTGGTTCTTGAGAAGAAGATTTTTTAATGACCTCACCCTATTTTTGTCTTTTCTTGATTATCTCCCCTTGCGAGGGGATATGTCCCTTCATTTTAACAATTTAAATTTCTCTTCACCCAAGGATGCTTTGTACCAAGTTTGGTCAAAATTGGCCCAGTGGTTCTTGAGAAGAAGTCGAAAATGTGAAAAGTTAACAGACGGACAGACAGACAGACGGACGGACGGACGACGGACAAAATGTGATCAGAAAAGCTCACTTGAGCCTTCGGCTCAGGTGAGCTAAAAATTCATGTTACATATACTATATTGAATTTTCTAACAACATTTACACAAATAATATAATCTCCCACATTTCCAATTATCATTAATGACCAGGCATTTCCAACAAATTAAACAGTGATCTAGCTTATTTACACATATACACACCTTGTTCTGGCTGCCATCCTGTTGACTTCTGGGAAGGGTCACATGATACACTCTCTGGCAATTGGAATTAAAGCCCCCTGTGTCTGCAATGTCTCCTATTTTTAGGCCATTAGGAAATCTCTTCTTGCAGTCAGCTTCCAATGCTGGTCCTGCAGCATCACTTAATTTCTTACTAGGAATTCTACTCAGGTCAAAGCTAGAGTGCACTCCATTCACATAAACATCAACCTGTATAGCATATAAGATATAGATTTACTTTTACAATGTTATTTAACTTAAAATTACGTTAAAAAAACACAAGAAATATGCTAGGTTATATTATCGAAAACAGTTTTTGGCAATTATAACTTTCTTTTCTTGTAGCTACAGCAGGTCAAGCCAAAATGATAGGAGAAGAAGTGTTTTAATAATTATTTACAGACAGATGTTGGACATGCATCTTACAATCACATATGCTCTTCAGAGCTAAAAAATAAGACAGTATACAATTGCACTATGATCATTTTCATTAAAAATAATGTGAGCAACACAGTACTTGTTGCATTTATTGGTAAATGCTTTTTCAAAAACTTTAATTGGCAATTTTTAAACCCTTTTGACCATTGGGAAGACAATAAATTTCCCTACTGTATTAAAATGATCATATAGATTCAAATTTCAGTGTTCACAAGTTCATGTGCACCTTATAAAAGTGAGGAATACAGAGAGATTGATGTCCAAATTGATATAAATAATGTTCCATACATATTGGAGTATTTTAATTGCAATGCGCATCCATCGATGCATGGTCACTGAATTGTAGCAATCAGAGCTGTGGCATCACTTGGAAAACCTGTTTGTCAAGTCTAAAATTATAGATATTCATAGTCACTTATCCAGGGGTTTTGGCCAGGTTTGACAGATTAGTTCTGGACACCAAAATGTGTGGACGGTGTGAAATTAAGACCCATACTTAGTGGATTGGGCGGCTCCCATGCTGTGTGGAAATAGGATGCATTACTCAGTGTCACTGGTACCTGTGTGGTCACCATTTGAAACCTTTGTGGACGCTTTGAAACCTGTGTGAATCATGTGAAACCTGAGCCTTTTGTTTTTGCAAGGGTGTTAGTGACTACAATCCAGTACTGTATATTATAACTCACCTATAAGTTGGTCCGCCTGTAAGTTGGTTGTATTTTTTAACATTATTTTGGTGGGATTTTTCATTGACCCGCTTATAAGTTTGTTCAATTTTTTGCCAAAATTGGGTGACAATTTCAGGTAAATCCTTAATGTTTCAACCTAATTTCAATAAATATTTTTCTGAATAATACTGATAATTAATCTTAACTCATTTAACAGATAGGTAATGCTCACTTAAGATACAATTAAAATTATTAAAATATGTAAATACTTGTTTTTATGTATAATCTAAGAAAACATAGATTATCTAACATATCCAGACATTTACTTTGATAATCATCGGAAATGCATATGAAATACTACATTTCAGCTTCCAGAAAAATACCTATCCCTTTATGACTCGCCTATAAGTCGGACATTAAGAGTTTAAGACCAAGGATATATGGTACTTCCAATTCAGTTTAGGACACATAGTACTGATGTCTACCTATGCAACACCAGTGCCTGAGTTCTATTTTGAATTTTTGTACATTGTAAATAAATTGTTATTAATGTAAAGAATTGTTTTTCTTGATTGACAAAGGTCAGTTGTGCACTTGAAAGAAGCGAAATAAACTTTGACATCAATAAAAGCTTGCGTCCAATTTGGTTTATTTTTTCTTAATCATTTCCTGTCGCCTAGGAAGAGAGAGTGACCCTTTTTTAAACAAACCTGAATCCTGTTCACCCCAAAAGTCTTTTTGCCATGTTTGGAAGAAAGAAATTAGCCCTTTGGTCCAGGAGAAGATATAAGATGTTAAAAGTTTACGACATTGTCAACAGGCTAGGGAAAAATTTTGATCAGAAAAGCTCAGGTGAGTTAAAAAAACATCTGACCTGTTCATCAATGAGTTGTCCTTCCACAACTGATATTTTGATCCCTCCAATCATGACCCACTGTCTAATGCTCAGATTGGCTGTGGCAGGTTTACAGCTTGGATTGCTTGTGGTGTATTTAGTGCCTAATTTAGCTGTAGTAGGTCTTGGGGGTAGATTAGTTGTAATGTATTTTGGGATTGGTTTAGCTCTGACAGGTCTAGATATTGGACTGGCTGAGGCTAAGACATTGCTTCCTCCAATCTTTACCAATGGTCTAAGTCTTGGTCGGGTTGGGATTGGTCCAGGGTTTAGACTGGCTATAGTGGGTAGAGGGCTTGAATTGACTGTGGTGATTGTAGGGCTTGAATTAACTGTAGTTAGGGTAGGGCTTGGAACAGTTGTGACAGGTTTAGGACTCAGATTGCCAATTGTAGGCTCAAAGATTAGATTGGTCATGGTGGGTGGAGGGCTCACTTTGCCTACAGATAAGGGTGAGGCTGATAAATTGAACCCTTCATTCTCTTCCAACTGCCATTGGTTGATTGTGCTAGGTTCAGGGATAAGATGGGCTGTGATGAGACTAGGATTGGCTGTGCTTGGTTCAGAGCTCAGAATGGTTATGCTGGGATTAGAAACCAGATGGGCTTTGCTGGTTTCAGGGCTTGAACTGGCTCTTCTATGTTCTGGGCTCGAATTGGTTGTGCTGGGTTCAGAGCTCAGAATGGTTATGCTAGGATCAAAACTCAGATGGGCTCCGCTAGTTTCAGGGCTTGAATTGTGTCTTCTAGGTCCTGGACTCGAATTGGCTGTGCTGGGTTCAGAGTCCAAAATGGTTATGTTTGGTCCAGAATCCAGATGGGCTCTGCTGGTTTCAGGGCTCGAATTGGCTGTGCTGGGTTCAGAGTCCAAAATGATTGCCAGATTGGGAGTAGAGAATGCATGGCGTAAACGAACTAGGCTCCGTGTCACGATATTGCCTATCAACAAGAAACACAAAAATAGGTTTAATCTTATATATAAAAATGATTTTCAAAGGACAGCATGTTCAAAAAAAATAATCAAGAAGCCCTTCAATTATTTTGAAGAAAATTCTTGTTGCATTTTTAACACTCTACAACCATATACACGAATTTACTATCTAACTAAAATTAGATGGTCACAATCCACTACTGCTTCATAAAAGTTTTTAAGTAGTGAAAGCAAATTCAGATCACCTAATTATAATAAGAGGGATATGTGAGTTTCAATGTATCCTTTGATGCATTATCAATGCAAGCTTAGTCCAGATATGGCAAAAAGTTAGTACCTTAGAATGAACTTGCCCTAAAAACTTTAACTTTGTCAGGCATAAAAACAGGTCAAACGCAGCATCTTAAACATCCTTATAAATGTATCATCCATTCAATTTGGTCAATATAGGGCTTATAGGTACTTCAATAGAATACCTGCTTCAAAATCAACCAAAAACATTTGTCCAAAAGTTGTATGCCAGATCCAGCATCCAAAACAAGTCCAGAAGTATGTATTCCTAGATGTATCATCAATTCAAGTTTCAATGGCTAATACCAGTACTTACATTGAAATGAAAATCCTCTAAATCATTTTCTTGGTCATTCATCCGGAAAATGTAGGTCAGACTCAGTATCAGAAGCTAAGTCTAGTTGTTTGAATACTTAGATGTAACATCAATTTAAGTTTGGTCAATAGAGCATATTGTTGCTTGAAAATTATATCTAATCCCAAAACCTGCTTCAAAAACTTCATCCCGCTCCAAAAAACATTAACTTAACTCCATGTCATTCTTTAATTGAAATTGCAGCATCTGAAACTTTGACTGGTATAATGAATCACAGATATTATTATCAAAGATCGAAACATTAATTTTTCCATGTATCTCTGATTAATATAGCGCGAAGAAGTTCTTGAAAAGAAATAAATCTGCTCCAAAGACTTTTACCTGTGTCACTGATGTTGATGGTATTAATTAAATTAGCTCACCAATTTCGTTGGGGTGAATAAAAATTAACAACAATCTTAACAAGATGCCCAGGGGCCACATAGCTCACCTGAGCAATTGGCTAGGTAAAAGCAAGAAGAGGCTCGCGGGCCTTATAAGTCACCTGAGTATCATATGGCATGTAATAATTTTCCAACAATTGAATTGCTTCGTGTTTTAAATCAAACGCCATGAAAGTCAAAATTTTGAAAGAGACACTGTTGCTTATCATAACTATACACTTAGCTTGCTTACTTTGTTTACTTAATACCCAGAGGTAGATCAAAGTAACAAAGAGAAAATGCATCTCCACTTTATAACCAGTTGTGCACCCCACCCAAGGAACCATTGACCTTGGGGCACATATTTCAAAATTCTGCAAATTTTGTCATAAAATTTATTTCATAATAAATGGTTGATTAATACTAAAAGGCAGATTTCAAAGCATTAATTTATTTTCAGACTATGTAACCCCACCCCTACCTCAAGTACGCTGACCCAGGGGCCCTGAAATTAACCATTTTGGGAGAGGCACCTTTCATTATCATCGATATGTACTTAGAACATTGGCATAATAACCAGGAGCAAAGGAAAATGTTTTCGAAGAATTCATGCATTTCCGATAAATAATCATTAGAGCCCCGTCCTAACACAAAAACCTCTGACCCTGTGGCCATGAAATTAACAAATCTGAAAAAGGCATCCTTCATCATCATAACTTTGTACTTAGTTCATTGGTTTACTACTCAGAAGCAGAGAAGATTTTTAAAGAATTAATATATTTTCACTATATGATCAATTAGAATTAATATATTTTCACTATATGATCAACATATGATCAATAGAGTCCCGCCATAACACCCAAACCCCTGACCATGGGGCCATGAAATTCACACTTTTGGAAGAGGCACTCTTATTTAAGTCAGACGACACGTTCCTCAGATATATGATTTGTGTCTCTTGGTATTATTAAAAAAATATTTATATTTGTCATTATTTTCTTAGTTCTATTGTTTTTAAAACGTTTTTAAATATAACTACACCAGCAAAATTGTGTTATAGGCCATTTGGAAGATAACCCTTATGGTTTCTATAAGAAATATGACCCAATGGTATCTTGACCAAATGCCTGGTAAGGTACCCTAATTTTTTGTGAGGAAACTTCTTTAAGTACCTATAGTTCAATGAGAAATTCTTATGAAAAATTATATATTTTTGAGGAACGTGTCGTCTGACCTTAACATAACTACGAGGGTTGATCCAAAAGTAATGTCACAACTTTGATAAAATTGCTATAAATCGACGTAAAGCAACAAAATTATATATGATGAAATCTTTATTTATTTCAAATCAGAACTAGAAAAAAAAAATTCAAAGGAATATGATGTATACTTTCCAAAATATCGGATTTTAAACATCGTGCGTTTATGGTAGTCTTCGCACCTAAATATAACGTCATATGACGGATGCGCATCGTCATGCTTTTAAGCGTTTCCCCTTCGTTTCATTAAAAAAATATTTGTGATTCGCAAACACTTTCACCAAATTCACTTTCTTTCAGAATTATTGGTACCATTTTACACTCACTCTTTTCATAATTAAGCCCTCTGACAAAATTATTTGAACAGTAGCGTACATGTAAGACAAATAAAAAAATTCACATGTCACTCTATACGTATATCTTTTTCGACAACATCAGCCACCATTGAACGTTTTCGTCCCTTCTCCTATCTTTCGGTCTTCTTGTCCTCTGTTGATCATTTAGTGACCAATCACCCACCCGAAATTGCTGAAACCATCTATTTAAATGTCTCTTATTTACATCCTTCATTCTTTAAGTCTGATTAATAACGAAACTGTCGCTTGTGATTATTCCCATATTTTGAAGCAGAAATACTTTACAACTCGTCGAGTCGTTTTTTTTCCCATTTCGACAATCCCTTTGTTCAACTCAGCAGAGTAAAACAACAATGTTAATGATCACAATACCAATGCTGTCATTCGATTTTCAATTAAAGACTACAAGATGATGAAAACTGTGTCTTTTAAAAAAACTGGGAGATTAGGTGATTTTTAGAATCTTTTTAATGTGTTTATCTTATTCATTCCAAGAAAAATTACACTTTAAAACTGACGTTCCGTTGTGACGCGGCGACACCCCTTATGCTCAATGTTTTAAACGTCTATAAAATAAATTTAAATAAACATTATTAAATTAAAATTTCAATGTTAATTAGATTTATATTTATGCATCTTTTGGTATATTGTATTTGATAATATGACGCCAAATACAAAAGATTTGGACACTATGACATTACTTTCGGATCAACCCTCGTATGTACTTGTTTAGTTTGTTTAATACCCAGGAGCAGAGAAGATTTTTTAAAAATTAATGCATTTTCACTTCATAATTAATAGAACCCCGCCCTAACACCAGAAATCCTGCTCCTGGGGCCATGAAATTCATAATTTTGGAAGAAGCATCCTCATTCAACATGACTACGTATTAATTTGGCTACGTATTTGGCTTACCAAAGAGGAAAAAATAAGATTTTGAAATAAAAAATGCATTTTCACTCTATAATCTATATAGCCCCGCCCTACCACCTAAGAACCCCTGACCCCAGGGCCGTGCACAGAGCACGACGACGGAAGAAAACGGATAACAATAGGTCACCTGAGTAAACTCAGGTGATCTAAAAATCAGTTCAGTATTGAAAAGTTTAAACAAACTAGTAAAAGTGGGTCAGGGGAGGGACCTTATTTGAAGAATCTTACATGTAAACTTCCTATGAATGCTTTTATTGATATACATGTAGCTTTTACATTCCTTTGAATAACTATGGCCCACGTGCACTTTAATGCCCCCTTCTATTCTCCATGTTGGTTATGATTTGAACAAATTTAAATCTACATTGTACCTTTTGCTATGCTTTTATATTGATGATCAATAATGGATTTGTTCTTAAAATGTGAAGAATTTTCACGATTTATCCTAGTATGTATTCCTTCGTAAAACTGTGATCACCCATTGTGACACCACTCACCCCCCCCCCCCCAACCCCGGGTCATGATTTGAACAAACTTGAATCTACACAACCCGAGGATACTTTCATATAAATAATATGAATAATCAAACCTTTGCTGTTCTCGAGAAGAAGAATTTTAAAGAATTTTTCTATGTAATCCTTTTTAAGACTTTGATCACCCATTATAGCCCTTCCCTGGCCCCAGGGTCATGATTTGAACAAACTTGAATCTTCACTACAAGAGGATGCTTCAACAAATAAACTATTACATATCATGACTTTTCTGTTTTTGAGAAGATTTTTCTAAAAGAGTTTCCTATGTATTTCTTTATTAAACTTTGATCCCAAATAGTGGCCCCACCCTACCTTTGGGGATCATGATTTGAACAAACTTGAATCTACACTACCAGAGGATACTGTAAACCAACTTTTATTCTATTATATTGAGAAACATATTCGAGAGCCTTGTCGTCGTGAATATTTCTCGCTGAGAACCGGTCCTAAAATCACCTTGTCCATTAACGACAGATTCAAAAAAGAGGCCCGGGGGCCACATCGCTCACCTGAGCTCTGGTATTGTAAAACTAAAAGCAGAAATAAGCCAGCATTGAAAAATTTTAAAATTATAGTGGTTTAAAGTGGGACCATGATTTAAACAAACTTAAATCTACACTACATGAGGATGCTTCCATATAACTATGACCAATCATGAACCCGAATCCCCCATCCCCACATTATGGCCTCCCCTGCGGTCATGATTTGAACAAACTTGAATCTGCGCTACCACATGAGTTTCATCTTTTCTGGCCAAGTGGTTCTGGAGAAGAACATTTTTAAAGATATTCACTTTTGTATTCCAATGTTAAACTTTGACCCCCCATTGTGGCCCCATCCTACCCCCGGGGTCATGATTTGAACAAACTTTATCTACAATACCAGAGGATGCTTCCAA